GATGTCGGCGTCGCAGTGTGGTCTCGTCGCAATTGAAGCGGCGAGCAGTCTCAGCATAATTAACTGATTCCGACGACTTCAGGAAGTTAAGTGCCTCGTCAATAGATGCCATGGTTGTTGAGTTATTGTCGATTGATGTCGAGAGTGCGGAGTGGCGGTGATCCGGCGTATCACCGGATCCGGCAGATCACCGGGAAATCCCTTATATATCGGACTCAGTATACTTAGTCATCGGCCACTTATTCACAAGGATGCCCACTTTGAGAGAAATTGAAGTGACGTTGGTAGAGCCGTGCGTGGTTGAAGTTGGAGTAGCGATGAGGTTGTCGCCATTTTGCGGGGTGCCGAAAAGCGGGGGATGCCGATTTCTATGTGCAGGGACTTAATGGATGTGCTACCACCAGCTGCGGAGGTGGGCCTTGTGGTCCCGTAGACATGGTGCTGGACTTGGGGAGGATGAACCGGCACAGCCACTGCTCACAGGAACCAGGAGAGGTCCTGCCGGCCCACACATGTAAACTCTCCCGAATTCTACATGTTTGGCGAGGATCTGGCGCCCGTGGCCACATGAACCACTATTGACCACCATATTCGTGACCAAATATTGTTCTAGTGACTGTGGAACGACTTGTGCGAGACTCTATCAACAGTCGTAAGCCAGCCACGAGAGTTGAGAAGCGCTATGTAACTCCGCTAACAGAAATGGCCCCGTGTTGTAACCGCCATTATCGTCCCTCATCCGTCACTGCTGCTTCGCGTCGTTTCCTGCGAAAGAACTTTATCATCTCCAAAGCAATTCGCTCACGATTTTGCATTCGTTTCTTCTCCCTGTAATCGTATTCATGTTTCAATCTTGCAAGTTCCGCAAGGTTGTCCTCACAAGAAAGTTCAACTTACAGGAGCTCCTCTTCCACGGTAGCCAACTCTTTTGACAGTCTATCTCTCTCTTTAGCAAGCCGGCCATATTTGGTTGTTGCATTGTCTGCGTCGTTCTCCATGTTCACTGGCGATGGCGGTTATTGATCGTGCCGGTGGCCGGTGCGTTGTTTGCCGCTGCCTGGACCTGTTCAAATGCAAATGGCTCCTTGGAAGCCAAACATCGACTGGTCCGTTGAATCGGACCCTCGTGTGCAAAAGCGACAAAATTCCGCGAACAGAGGGACAAATGTTCTGTTGCAATACTCTCGAGCTTCTGCCTTCGCTGATACCTGTACGACTTCTATACAGTCCATATGTCTGCAGGAAATGAGGACACGGGAAGATTCCGGAGACGAGACTGCAGTGAAATAACCTCTGAAACAGCCTGGGAAGGCGGAGAGGATCCCTATATGCTCCAGTGCGAGGATGCAGCGATATGATACTCGGCGGACGTCAGGGATTGGTAGCGTCCGGCACAGCTGCCGTTCCAGTCCCACAATACCCCTGCTAACAGGTCATGGAGAACCACGGAAGGCTGTTAGCCGTCGACCACGGACATCACGTCAGCGATCCAAAAGGTGTTGCCGCCACCACAACTATGCTGCATTGGATCCCATGGGCTGTCACACCATGTGGATGTCGGGGTTGCTGCGAGGGCATGACTCCTGCTCGCGTACAGGCTCGGGCATTGCACAAAAATGCCCCTTGGCGAATGGTAATTTCCGTGGCCGGTCCCTTCTCCTACATGACACCGTCTCAGGTGGGAAGTACTAGCTTGTTCAGTTAGGATCCATCGCCACCATCTAAGGTACGCAGGCGGCTTTTCACGACGTCAGTGTATGTCTGCCAAGGATCTTTGCAGGGAGGTGCTGCGCGTGGGGTTGGCGGCGATGCGGTGATGCAAACACGAGACGCTAACCAGCTCTGGGATAGTCTTGGGGAAACGTACATGGCCGGGGGCTGAGCGGTGGCGCAATGGCCAGATCAGTGGGTCTGCACTCTACCTGTTTCCGCTCCTTGAAGCTGACGCCCGACACCTATCAGCCATCCGTTCGTAGCGAGCTATTAATTCATATCGCCCGGGCCTCGATGAGGGCCCATGCCGCTTCACAAATCAATGCACCAGGCATGTGCGTCGGGGTCCACGTTAAACGCGAATCGCAGCGAGCCGTCC